GTATAACTTGTTAGTTAGTCCTCATTTATCTGATAGAATGCTTTAGTTAGTCCATATTGGTCCTGTATAACTTGTTAGTTAGCCCTCATTTATCTGATAGAATGCTTTAGTTAGTCCATATTGATCCTGTATAACTTGTTAGTTAGTCCTCATTTATCTGACAGAATGCTTTAGTTAGTCCTCATTTATCTGATAGAATGCTTTAGTTAGTCCTCATTTATCTGATAGAATGCTTTAGTTAGTCCCTATAGATCATGTATAATATGTTCATCTTTATACAAGTTAGGAAGAGTTTAATACTTTTGTTTCCTGTTATTTCTAACAATAATTTGGTGAATATCTAAAGCAGCAGTCAATGACAATATTGACATGGTATTATAGTAACAGATAAGGCATTCCATTTTCCTAGTAACTAGATAACAATAATTTGGTGAATATCTAAAGCAGCAGTCAATGACAATATTGACATGGTTCCATAGTAACAGATAAGACATTCCATTTTCCTAGTAACTAGATAACAATAATTTGGTGAATATCTAAAGCAGCAGTCAATGACAATATTGACATGGTTCCATAGTAACAGATAAGACATTCCATTTTCCTAGTAACTAGATAACAATAATTTGGTGAATATCTAAAGCAGCAGTCAATGACAATATTTACATGGTACCATAGTAACAGATAAGACATTCCATTTTCCTAGTAACTAGAGGAACTATGACTTTAAAAAATAATATTTTTTTATTTGAAGAACATAGCATAATTGTTATACAATCCATTACCTGTAAATTCAATACGTAAGCAGGCTAAGTAAAGATATAATGAATGTTAGTTATTCATCTTAATAACATTAGCGGAAACTTGTGGAAAACCAAGTACTTTTTCATTGGCTGATCGCCATGGAAACTGGTTCCTGTTCAGCCAAGTTTCGTGGGTTTACAACGTTAAAGGAAAAATAAGTGTGGAAACTTTTACATACATGTTCTCAGAATTAAGTCATCTTCGAATACGACAACATTGAAACGACAGATAAAGGAATGCTCGGTTCGGTAATTCCATGTTATTACACTGCCACGTCACGAAACAAGACCTCGTGCAAGGCAGCTCTCGCGCCGTGAAAGCTAGTCGAAATCGACCGGACTTACCGCGCGTACAACGTAAGCCGGTTTCGCAAGCCAAGCTCTACAGGCCGATCCAGATGTATGGATTGAAAAGGATTTATCATCATCAAGGAATTCAGATAAAATAAAAACAGACGATACGAGGATTATCTTCTTGAGTACTGTTAGGTACATAAAAAAAAACACATATAGGAGAAAGTATAACTTTGTAAACGCCTTAAAAAGACAACGTCTTCCGATAGGACAGCGGTAAGTCTCCAGCCTTACAGCGCTAAAATCCGGGGTTCGATTCACTCGGCGGACAAAGCAGATAGCTCAATGTGGTTTTGTTCTAAAAAAACAACAACAAACAATAAAAGGATAACAACCTTTAGGTTCGAGGACGCCACTATATTAAGGAAGCGTCATTTATCACACTATCTGCATGTTGGTAGTTTTGTAAGGTTTCAATTCCGATATTTTTACATTCATTGTTGGACAATCGTACAAAGTCTGCTCACTCCCTTCTCTGGAAGTCGAACCCTGGGGATAATGATATAATTGGGGGGGGGGGGGAGTCTTCAAAATTTCGTAATGATCTTTAAAAACGTGATAATAGAAGAGGTAGGCCTATAAAACTTTTTAAAGGCATTTAAAATAGATTTTCGGGATCTACAAAAGGCTTTTTATAGCTAACGACAGAAGAGATACGTTTTCAGAACCTATAAAAGGCCTTGAATAGTTAATGTCAGAAGAGATAGGTCTACAGAACCTAGAAGAGGTCTTGAATAGTTAATGACAGAAGAGATAGGTCTACAGAACCTAGAAAAGGTCTTGAATAGTTAATGACAGAAGAGATAGGTCTACAGAACCAAGAAGAGGTCTTGAATAGCTAACGACATAAGAGATAGATCTACAGAACCAAGAAGAGATCTTGAATAGTTAATGTCAGAAGAGATAGGTCTACAGAACCAAGAAGAGGTCTTGAATAGCTAACGACATAAGAGATAGATCTACAGAACCAAGAAGAGATCTTGAATAGCTAACGACATAAGAGATAGGTCTACAGAACCAAGAAGAGGTCTTGAATAGTTAATGTCAGAATAGATAGGTCTACAGAACCTAGAAGTGGTCTTGAATAGTTAGTGACAGAAGAGATAGGTCTGTTGTTCATCATTAAACTCAGAAGAAGTCTTGAATATTTAACGAATATTTCTGGGTCTTCAGAATTAATAAAATGCTATGAATGGTTAATGATAGTAGAGATATATCTTCAGAACCTAGAAAAAGGCTTTAAATAGTTAATGGCAGAATAGAATAATTTTTAGCACTTAGAAATGGCCGTTAATTGTTAATTGCAGAAAGGATATGTTTTGTGTATTCATTACTCAGAACCAGAAATGTTCGGTTTTCCGAACATAGAATGAGCTTTGAATTTTTAAAGTCAAAAGGGTTATGAACGATTAGTTACAGAGCGGTTAGGTTTTATGGATTGTGTGAGGATCTTGAAAGATTGGATGATCAAAAAGGTGACTCCTTAGAGTTATGTGAAGAACTTGATAACAGATAATAAAAAGGTAATTCGAATTAATCATGGAACACAGAGGCCGACAACAAAGGGCAATCCAGATTGATCATAAAAACTGTTAAAAAACGTAACATATAACTACAAAATGTTTAACCTGGGTAGGTAATAAAGTGACATTAATGTGGAAAGAATTCGTCCACCCCTCTCTCGGAAACTAGGCTACTCATAACAGCTCTAGTAAATTTACAAACCCCTTGCGAAAGTGAGGCTTTCTTCTTCTGCCTTTAGAAACTTAGATCATATAGTCGAAACTATAATACAGGGGAGTGCTATGCTACTGAGCGTCTCCCTTTCCTTTCCATGAGACAACTCACTTAACTCACCGTGAGCGATCTTGAGCTCAACTGAGCAAGTGTCACTTATGATCTGTGTGAGAAAACAAAGATGGCGGCCACC